CCTATACTCTCTGTTTTGCTCAACAACCTCAATGCTTAAAGCATCTCTGAAAAAATAAGAGAACGCAGTCTTTTGACTTAAAAACCGTCCAGATTTTTCTTTCCCACTGTGAATGCTCCCCAAAGTACCTGGTCCCTCCACAGAAATGAGAGCACATTGAGAAATGCACACCACTTAATTGGGCTGATTTTTTGCTGAGAGCACAGTATTTGAGATGCAGAAGCTTTTGAAGTCACTGGAGTAACATTTAATGCACAAGAGAGTTACCTGGATAATTTACACTATTCCATCAAAGTAAAGTGTTCCTTGATGATGCTGATTAGCATGTAATAGAGATGCACTCTAGGTAGCCTGTAACACTTGACTCATTGGGTAAAAAATCAGTCTGAGTTCATTAAAAAGACAGACACAGAGTACCTTTTAAAAGAAATAGTAGTGTATATTATATACATACAACATGACAGCCTAATTACTAACAATGCCTTTCTCAATATAGTTTTGTTTTACATATTGTGCATACTTGACTTTAAAATTCCTTTTTCTTACTTAGCAACACCATTTATTTATACATAACTTACAAATATTTATGGATATTTATGGTGTTCTCACTCTGTCTACCACTGTAGAGGATTTCTTCACCCATAGATCTTAGAGTCCAGTTTAGAAACAAGGCTGTATGATACAAAATAAATACAAAATAATTAAAACCCTTTAAAAAAGGATAATTACCTTCGACAGGTTAAACAGCACTTGTGTTCTTCCTGGGTATATTTGCTCAGAAAAATCCCTTCTTTCAAATGATTAAATGTTAGAGTTCAATGCAAGTGCAAATGAATGATAAAAGTGAATAGGTTCTTCTTCTATGCTTTCCCCAGCACTTTCTTAAAATATTCATTGTAATTGTGTTATAATCTATTAAATTTCATGTTAGTTTTTTTCCTTTTATCTGTTTAAATCTTCTTAAACTGTCCTCATATGTAGGACATAGTATAGTGACTAGCATATAAAAGATTTTTAGTAAAGAAAAACATCTCTTTAGTGAAGATTTTATCATTTATGTAATAAATATGAAATTATTTTATATTTTTTATACAATATGGTACCCTAAAATTTGAATTGAGAAGGCAAAAAATTGTAGCAATTTGATCAAGTCACTTAATTGCGGTTTCTCCTGTCTTAATTTGCTGTTTCCAGATCCACACATTATGTAATCCATTTCAGTAATTTCAGTTTGGCAGATAGTCTATGATACCTTCTCTGAGGAGGAATTTATTATTTGTGCAATTCACATTCATAGCCAAGCTAGTGCGTCTCATATGATGATGATCCTGGTATTGAGAGCATTTTACTTCCTTTATTGTTTACCAAAGGACAAAGAAATTTCTAAATGTCATTGTCCATGATGATTTTTTTTAATTGAAATCCTAGACCACTTCATGGGGCTAGAAACAATTAGCCAGAATTCCAACATTTGTAGGAAGACAACATATTTTAAAGCTACTTGTCAGCTAAATAAGAGTCCCAAAAGGAGGTATAAATCCTAAATCCATTCCTGGATCTTTACAACTTTATATTTCACAGAAACTTCATTATGAGGAACTTATGATTTATCTTTCTCTATGCTTGGGACTTTTCCATGCTCAAGGTTTCATGGTAGATTCCTGTTAGAATCCCTTTGGATTCCTAGGAATCCATTCTTTCTGTGATACTTGAAGTAAAGAAGTTCAAAAACCTAAACATTGCTGGTGAGCATTGAGGGGATTGGCTGGCCAGATATGGTTCAATGACACACTCTATAGTGACCCTGGAAAATCATTCTCTGAGTCAGTACTCTACCAGGCCCAGTCCAAAGAATATCATTTTACTGAGAAAAACTGCCTTGTGTTATGACATGACAATTTTAAACAAGTGACTATATGTAAACATTCTGATATTAGGAAAGATAAGGATGAAGTGAATTAGGCACAAATAAGAATAATAACGTGTAAACAATGGAACCAAGATCTGAATTAAGTGAAATAAATCCTTGACTTTCTCTGCTAACGGTGAAAAATCCTGGAAAAATCTGTAACTCACTTTTGCCTGGGTAGGAATTCATTTGGACCTGACTTTTACCTTCCTAGTTACAGTTGCTGTACACTAACAGTATTTCCCGTTTTCCTAGGATTGAGCAAAGAGGAAAAACCATAATATTAATTCACATACAAATAGAGAATTCTAAAACAGCATGTTTTTGGACTTTTTTGAAATTGGATTCCACAACTGCTGTTTTTATTGAATTCAGTAGTAAAATAGTTTGGGTACTTAGCTAGCTAACCCCTTTGAGTAAGAAGTCTGACTTTATAGCAAATACATAAGATTTCGAGTTATAGAGCTTTTAAAATAAATGTCACAGTTCTTCAGCTCAACTGTTACTGTTCTTTAGGTTGTCATTGGAAGTTCTTTCTACTTCATAGTTCCCTCATTCATTCATTCCTCCATCCTTCTGTTCATGTAATCTCTCACTGCATTCAACCTTAACTAGGCACCACATTTCTTCCAGGCACTGGGAATACAACAGTGAACAGCAACACTCCTATTCTAATGTCGGCTAACAGGAAATGAAGAGTTTTAGTTAATCAATTAACTGCCCAGAGCTTTAGAAAAAAGTCAAGTAAAACCAAATCAATAAGTTGTTTATTAAACACGTAGGCCCTCTGTGGCAAGTCCCCACAATTATGTCAGTTTAAAATTCTGAAAAATCTGAGGGTGGATGTGGCAGGTATTTTTGTCTGTTCATGACTATTCGGCTATTTTTCAGGAACATTCAAATTCTGAGAAGTTACCCAGGACTTCCATTTCCTGAGAAAACTGGAAACCTATATTAGCTCAGCTCTTAAATCCCATAGAGCACAACCTAGGAATTTCTGATATTCTAGGACAATTGGAGCAAAGAGTATACATTCCATTTGTCAGAAACTGCAATAAGTTGGGATAGATACCACCATGAGCACAAAAACATTGATATATCACTTATTACCTCATAGACACAGTGTAAACATTCATTTTGTGTAAGGTCGAAGAGATACTTTCAAGCTAAGTCGGTTTTCCTTTCTGGTATGTCAAAGACAGTATTATTTAATTCTGGTCAGGGAAATACATGGAATTTTTCTTCAAAACTTCTATGTTAAGAAAGTTAGGCAATTTGGGATTAAATTTCTGTCCTCAAGCAATCACATCTGAAAGACTAACATCCACATTCTCCCATCAAAAAAGCCAACATGGTTTATAGCATGAGTCTGTAAACCTTTTTTTTGGTAGAAGCCCAGAGTATATTTTAGACTTCTCAGGTAGTATAATCTCTGTCACAGTTACTCAATTCTGCCAGTGTAGCATGAAAGCAGCCATAGACAATATGTAAATAAATAAGCATGCCTGTGTTCCAGTAAAACTTTACAAAAACAGGCAACTGGCCAAATTTGATTTTTAGGCCAGAGTTTGCCTATATTCTGAGCAATGGTCACATTTTTTCTTATTTATTTAGTTTCTTACTCTTATTTTATATTCTATCAGATACTGAAATAAACATAGGCATGTACCTTAAATAGTGAAAGGGATAAAAGTTTTCATTTATTATCAGGTGTTATTTGTAATAATGATGGTATCATCAGCAACCTAATATTTATCCGTTTAAGTGCTCTTTTTTCCACACTGATAAACTTTTGATTATTTTTTTACACTGTAGATTGTTTTTATTTGCTGTATATCATAGTGAATGCCTTTAAAATTTTTCTTATTCTTTTTTGATAATCTTTCTGAACAAATTCTTAGGAGCACTTGAACTATCCAGAGCAAATGCCCTACCTCAGTCGCCTTCAGTCTGCAGTGATTTCCTAGTTGATATTTCCATTACTGTCACCTTTACTTTTTTCCATTACTATCAGCCATCAGTATCAGTGTGTCCCTTTCTAGTCATCTCCTTCCCTAGGTCCATACCTGCATTGGCCATCGACCCATGCATGGAATCTGCTTTCAGTGAGGAACTGAATTCTGATTGAAGGATCAAGATAGCCTAGTTTCTGCAATCACATAAAATATCACCATAAGCCCAATATTAAGTTCCTTTAAAGGATTACTTTTCTGGGGAAATAGACTTCACAATATCTATTTTCCATAGTACTCAGAAGCTTTGGTTGCTTGTTTCTTTTTTGACTGACTCCCAATAAATTGAGATTGAAGGTAATGTAGATCTGGTTAACAGGCAAATGAGGAGTCTTGCTAGAGTGGTTTATTTGGAACAACTGATATCTTTGGTTTTATGTGGGTTTTTTTCTGTTATTGTTTTCTCCTACTGCTTAAATTTTTCTCTGTTTCATATCCTGCTGATCTCTCACTTACTTCTTCTAGTACAGTTTAGCACAATGAATCTCAACCCCAGAAAACATAAGAATCATCTGGAAAGCATCTGAAAAATATGGAATCTTAGACCCTACCCCATAGTACTTTCTAGTCAGTTGGTTTGGGGAGAGAGAATGGCATTAGTTATTTTTCACTTTGTTTGTTTACAATTCTCTGGTGAGTCTCAGGCTATTCAATGACTGAGAATCACTGGTTTACCATCTAATTTTTTAGAACTCTGTATAAAAAGATAAAATGAAGAGTGGTTTACACTTTCTATTTTGTGTCATTGAAATCTAACACATAATAAATGGGCAATTATCCAACGACCTTAACATTCTCTTCTTTGAATAATACCCTGAAGGTTTAATTATAAGTGGCTGTATATGCATATATATAGTGTATATACAGTTATATATATAATTATATAAAATACACACATACATGCATACATATAAACACACTTTTTGGAGGGCCTCACCATATGGGAAAAGTAGTAAGGATTTAGCTTTTGGAGTTGAGATATTTTATTCTCATTTTCTGGGTTAACTATTGTGCCTTAAATGACTATTTTTGATAACTGTGAAGTCATGCGTATGTTACTGTCTTTCTCTTGTTCATAGCACCAGAAGAATGGGCCACAACCCGCTCTAGCTTGAAGGCACCACCACCAAGGTCAGCCAGAGGGGGATACAGGGAACACCCCTATGGTAGATATTGAAGGTCCTCCTCACCTGTGACCTCACCTCAAAGACAGTTCATAGCCTGTGGTCTCCACATAAACAGCAACAAGACAAGTAATAGTCCTTTTTTTGTTTGTTTGTTTGTTTGTTTTTCTATTCTAGGGATACCTGCTCATGATTACTCCCATATATTTCTTGTATTTTCCTCTATACTGTTGGCGTGACATTGAAATTAGTATTATTTTACAAAACGGACTGAAAAAGACATTGGCAAGCATAGTCTATAAACCTTTCAGTAGGATGATAAACTCTTGGTTGTTTTTCATTGTTGTGTGTTAACTTTTTTTTTCTTTCTTTTTTTTAAAGAAAGAGCATGAATCTGTTAACAGATTTTGAGTCACAATCAACTAGCAGAAACTTTGTTTAGGGTTGCTAAAAGACTGTAATATGATTTTTGAATTAGCTGATAATAAAGTTGTAGATAAGATGTTTTAACCTGTCTTTTAATATCTGTTAGTTAGATGAAGATGTTCGATATTAAGTTTGTAAATTTAATTTTAAATGCTGTTTTAATGGGGTTGAGAACAAGCGGCTACTGTATGTTTGTAGCTAACTGAATTTGTTCAGTGTTTTAACCTGTATTTGTTAAAAAAGAAAAAAAACACACATAAAGTTCCATGTGTAAGCTTCTCTAAATAGGAAACCACAATTTGTCAAATATGTTTGCCATAATTTGTCAATAAAGCTGAAAACTTTTGTAAAAACTAAATTTGGAATTACTTGTTTTCTAGCTTTAAATGCCTGCTTTATTTCTTCTTCAAGAGATGCTAAAATGTTTTCTATTTAAAAATTACAAAAATGAACCCAAGCCTGTTTTAAGATATTTGTGTAATACTTAAAAATGTATTAATAACTTATGGTTGTTAAATAATTTAAAAGTTAACAAACTAAACTGTTACATGAATCATGGTTAGTAAACACTAATGTATAACATGTTAATGGAAAAAATGGATTTAGAATAATAAATGGATTTTAAACTATCCTCTAAGCTTTATCTTGCTAAACACAAATTCTGATTGACTTGTTTGCATTAGCATGTCTCTCGTGAGAAAGAGTAATGGAGTATAAAGAGGTAAGATTACCACTTACCACTGTCTAAATGCCTAGTTCTTCAACCTTTGAGTTTCCCCGCACATTAAATATCCCATCCAACATGTAAGCATTGCGTAGATTCACTTTATTGTTTTCACTCAAAGGAGTGCGTGGACTTCATTTGCGTAGTTTATAACAATTTGTTTTGACAAACAAATCATCAGTGTCACTGGCCAGTTGTTGCTATTCAACCTCAAAAACTTTATTTGTAATTTTCAGTGCTAAATATCACCGCCCTTGAAGGCAGTTTAGAGGGCTGATATTTCTTTTGAGACTATCAGACTTGATGGCTGATGATTATTAAGGAAATATGTCGCAGGACTCAAAGGATGACTAAACGTTAAACAGGTAACACTAATAGTAACTCTGTAATTTTGCCTATGCACCAGTAATGTTAAATATTCTCAGTTATTAAGTTCCTGATAGTTAAAAAAGTAAACCTACAAAAACATAACAAATAGGTCTATAGGCTATTAAAACAACTAATTAACATTAACTAGAGGCACCAAAATTATTTTACAATATATAACCCTCAAGGCAATAAACAGAACTAAAATTAACAATAATAGTAATGCAACTCTTGCTAACATCAAACGTAAGCTAAATTTTGATGGAAAAAAAAAGAAAGTGAAAGACTTGATGGTAGGGATGAATGCCAAAACTGTTAATCTTTTAAATACAGTTTTTTTGTTTATGGTGGCTTTTTGTCGATGTGATTGGTTTACTTTTTTGCTGCTAACCAGCTTAGGCATATCGCTGTTCAGTTTTGCAGCTGGAGTTGCATGCTAATAGTTTTATGAAGTGTGTGTCTGTCATCAATGAAAATTGTAAATATTTGCCTTTTACAAAATGCTGTTGAGTTACATTTAATTTTCTTTTTTTTTATTCTTTCTCACTATTTCAGGTACCCACAAGTAAAGACCACATAATTGAATAACAGATGTGATGAGCTGAGAAGGATGGAGGTAAGCTTATTTTCTGTCTTCTTTGAAATAGAAAATCTTCATCAACATAAAAACATAATAGAACATGAAACCATAGCAGTGAGCTGAAACATTAATGCTACTTGTTGAACTGCTGCAAAGGCTTAGGTTGTTGTCAGGGAATTGAGTTATTTTTATCTTCTTTGAAATAAAGTGATCGGAGTTGGTATTTATCTGACAAGGCTTTCTGAGTTTATTCAGAAGTCTGTCAAATGAACCGTGTATAAGTAGTTAATCTTCAGCCCTTTTCTTTGCTGTGAACTGTGACATACTACCTCTCCTTAATTATAGGAAGAGTATTAAAACTTTTAGCCTGTAGATAAAAGAGAAGGAACTCCCAATCAATGGCTAAAATAAAGGGAAGGGGAAAGGTAGTCCATGACCAACCTCTCACCTACCCCATATCAATGAGAGTCAAATAAAATCACTAAACATTACCATTATTTTTCCCATTTATCCCACTGGAGTGATCAATAATCTATTTGTTTCTCATCTGGTATTCTGTTTGAGTTAGTAAATAGTTACTGAGTAAAAGCATTGTTGGAAATTTAGACTTGATTTCTGTACACAAGGATTTGAAACATTAGCCAATAATCTTCAGACTGAAAACAATACGTGCATGGACAGTTATGAAATCCACAGCCTGCTCTGATGCTCAGAGAATTGAAATGGCCTGGCACTATGTCTGAAGCAGAGTTAGAAGACCCAAGTATTCATCTGCTGAGTATTGTCCTGGTTTAACTGCACAGATATCCATAGTACAGTTTAGCTTTAAAGAACCGCCATGGGAGAGGTATGAGAAAGCCTGAAGATTCCTTATGCAGATCTGACAGGAATGGAAGGAGTGTCTCACTCTTGAGGAAGAGAGCACCTTCTGGTGAAATGAATAGGCTGTCTGAATTCATGCAGTTGGAAAAGTTCAATAAGTATTCGAAAAGAAAGCAGAAGCTCTGTGAGCCCTGAGGGTCAAATTTATGAAGGCACACAGAGAAAGCAAAGCCCAGAAACACGGGTTCAAGTCAGGTCCCAATTTTCACTAAATGCTGTGTTGAATTGTTCACATTTTATAAGGAAAAATAAGAAGCCACTATAGACTTGAAGTAAAGAATGAATGCTATTCCTAAGGAAACTATCCCAAGCAACCCAAGTAAACCCCACATGTAGTCAGTTTTACCATTACTGTCTCTTCATCTGAGTTAGCTTTTCCAAAAATGCAAACTGTTTAAATAATTATATAATACTCGATGAGCTTCAATGAAAGTCCCTTTATCTTCAGAATCAAACATGAAAAGTGACAGTGAAATTTTGAACTTTTAATGACTGATTTGACTATTTAAAAATTGTTACCGTTTTTATAAAGCAAGTGGAGAATCTCTAATCCAGATATCCTACCTATTACTCTCCTTCCTTTTCAAACAATGGGCTTAATCTGGTAAAGCAAGGCAAGAAAAACCAGCAATAGGTTGTTACTCTTTAGATATATTCATCAATATGATTTTTTTTGTTGTTCCTTGTAATTATTTGGTTGTTGTGTGGTTTACTAAACCTATGACTCTCTCACCATTCGGACTAGATTTTCGCATGCATTAATTCACAGCAGAAATACCAGTGCTGAATAAGAGAAGTGGCATTATTTTGAAGCATAAAACCAATGACTTTCAAGACAGATGATTTTGAGTAACATAAACTTTGGATATAAAGTTTATGTGTTAAACAGACCATTAGCCGGGCGTGGTAGCGCGCGCCTGTAGTTCTAGCTACTTGGAAGGCTGAGGCGGAAGGATGACTGGAGCCCAGGAGGTCGAGGTTTCAGTGGCCGGGAGCGGCCAGGGCACTCCAGTCCGGGTGGCAGAGTGAGACTCCAACTCAAAAAAAAAAAAAACGAACAAAAAACAAAAACCAGTAGATTTAAAAGATTCCTATCTACCTGCCTCTAGTTATCTACAAAATAAAAGACTGTCCAGGCTAAGAAAACAGGTAGTTATACCTAAGATATTTAGTGTGGCCTTGAATATGGGTTCCACACTGTGTCAGTTATCCAATAAAAGCCTCTGATGGGTTTGGAACCTAGAGAGGACCTTCAACTCAAATGGAGCTTGGGGAGGGAGCAAGTCCCACAGAGTTCCCCACACCAGAATGTTTCCGGTGCCATCCTGTAGACCTGGCTATAGAATGTTTCCTCATGCTGGCAAGAGGGAAGAAGGTGTGGCAGAGAACCACACACAGTCCCTCTGCAGGAAGGAAGGAACATAATTTTTGACATAGACCAGCTCTGGCCTGGATACAGATGTATCAGTAGTAAGAAGATGAGAAGTACAGCTTCTCCCTGCCACCAACATCTCCAGAACTTAAATCCAACCCAGGAAAAGAAAAGAAGAAAAATAAATTTTTGAGTTGACAGAGGAACTCCTGAACAAAATCAGTTGGAATTGGCTGAGATTATTTCTCTCCATCTGGCAGGTTGAGTTTGAAATCAAGTTGAGGTTTATAATTATATATGCATAGCAGTCATCTACAGGAAAGTCAAAACTTGCTTGACTCTTAAAATAATCAAAAAATAATATACTAGGTTTCTCCAGTAACAGAGAATGAGAATTTCCCTAAATTAATGGCCTCTCAGTGGAAGCCTTTATTAGAATGAAAACTATTCAGTAAGAGGTCCTAACTCATAAACCTGTGCCCAGAGGATGTCTTCTCTTGTCAGTATCAGGAAACAATGCTGGTCCCGCTCGGGTCCCTTCATGGCATCATGCTTTCTCTAATCTCAGCATGACGACTCCCAAAGTTGACAGACCTTCTCATGTCTGACATCCACCTCATGCAAGTAATACAAATTTCCATGGTAAATTAAGATTTTTAAAATTAGACTGCAGTCTATCTAAGCATATTCTGAGGTTATCTGTCTGCATGCTCCTTACGTTCTTTCAGTTACTGTTGTAGCCTTTGGCATACTGGTGATCCTATCACAACAGGGAACTCACTAAAAACACCAAAAGATGCTAGCTTGGGCATAAACAATATATTTTAAATAGTAATAATAAAATTAATAAGTAATAAATTTGTTGTGCCTTCTAATCTTTGTCCAACAAAAAGTTTTACTACACTCAAACATGATTAAGTCAGAATTCACATGATGCCATTTAAGAAGCCAAATAGTGTTTTGAGGTCTTATTTGTAATATTTAGATAATTTTCACTTTCAGTATATAGTATTAATGGAACTACTACCATTTAGCCTAATAACAATTGAAGCACTAACAGTTTTTAAATGAAGTTGGCACAAAATGACATATGAATGGTTATAAAAAATTATTTGAAAGGAAATTATTTTTTAAACTATGGTATTGAAATATTACCTTTGTTCTTTTAGTTCTTCACTTAAAAATATATAGGCTGGTATTTTTAAAAGCACAAATGCCTTTTAAAAATGTAATTCTGTAGGGTTGAATAATGAGCACAAATATTCAGTTAGATAGAAGAAATAGGACCTAGTTTTTGAAGATCAGCTGGGTGACTATAGTTTACAACAATCTATTGTTAATTTTTAAACAGCTAGAAGAGAATAATTCAAATGTTTCAAGCATAAAGAAAAGAAAAATATTTAAGATGATGGATATTCCAGTTACGCTGATTTGATATTTATAAAATATATGAATGTATTGAATATTGCATGAACCCCCAAAATATGTACATCTATTACATAACAATAAAAATTAAATAAAAATAACGTAACTTTCTATAGCAATCTCTCTCTTCTCTGTGTCTCTTGGTTCATGTAATGTAGAAGTTTGTAGGGTTGTTTAGCTTTGTTTCTAAAGGAATAGAGAACAGTAATGAGTAATCTGAGTTGACTGAGTATTAAGTATCAAGTAAATTAAGTATCAAAAGGCCTGTTACTAAAAACTC